TCTAGACTCCGTGGTTCCCGAGATATTAACTTACCCGTAAAAAATTTTCATGGGGCCGTGCGCACGGGGAAGCTGAATTTAAATTTACTGGGTCACACGTGGGGTTTGGGAAACGTTCCCCTAAATTTTCAGCTTCCTAGCTTTTGTGGTTCCCAAGTTGAAAATTGCGGACAAGTTGCTGCGAACACAGACACACACTCACACACGCAAACAACCCCGTGACAATATGCGTTTTGTACTGCTGTTACACAGCACAAAACGCATAAAAAGGGGAATGTGAATAAAATAAGAATAAAATCTAATTGGGAATGTTTCGGTCCATCAAGTCGCATACATTCCTGTTCAGTGTTACAACTGAACCTCGTCAGTATGAGACGGTTGAGGCGAAAGTTGCATGCAGTGTGCTAAAAAAGAAAAAAAAGAAAGTTAAAATAAAAGGATTAAAGTAAAAGTTGAAAATGCATTTTATAAGCCGTTACCTCCACCATTACGTATGTTGAACTGACAGATGTACCCATAAAGTCAATAAAATAAAAGAGGAAATAATAAATCTAAGGTAGAAACAAACGAATGCGGAAAATCTTAATAAAAAAAGCAAAGCTACCCGTTAGCTTACGTTCAAAAGACAAAACCCAAAGAGAAGAATAAAAGGGGTGGGGGGATAGGGATCAGGGTATGTCGTTTTCGTGCAATGCATTTGTGTTGGCATATTTTCAGGGGCACTATTGCTTGCTGGAAGCGGGTGGCTTGTGAAGGAAAGCCACTGGGAGATTGCCGGCATGCGTCATCGATAACGGCACCGGGTTCGTTTTTTTTGGTTTCGCGCTGCGCAAGCTATTATTGGCTGGCAGAATTTACTTCACGTGAAATTGCTTTTCAGGTACACAAAGCTTGGCTATGCTGGCAACACCGAGCCGCAGTTCATCATACCGTCCGGTGGGTGCTGTTTACATTTGCCCAGTAACAGTAGTTCTGAAAGTGCAGGGAATGAGAACGAGGGCCTCTCGGAAGTGATGCATGTGAAAAGGGGTAGAAGTATTGCATAGGATAGAATGACCGTGAAAAACGAATTCGGCAATAATAACAATATAAAATAGCAATTCAATGACTGTAATAAAATAATAAAATAAAATAAAATAAATAATAAAATAAAATAGCAACGCGCACCAGACTAGCCGGTGCGACCATGCGTTTTGTGCAATTCAGCCCATCGAACG